GCCCAATTCATAACGGTAGCAAAATTACAGTTATGAAGTAACAATGAAAATAATTTTATGATTGGGGGGGTCACAACATGAGGAACTATATTAAAGGGTCACAGCATTGGGAAGGTTGGGAACCACTGCTGTAGAAGAATCGATGCGTTTGAATTGTGGTGCTGGAAAAGATTATTGAAAGAACCATGGACTGCTAAAAGGACAAACCTATCTATATCGGAAGGAGTAAGGTCAGAGTGTTCCCTAGAGGCAAGGATGGCAAGAGTTCGCCTTACATACTGTAAGGAGAGATCAAAAAGAGGCTAAAAAGAGGAAGGCCCGCCATAAGATGAACTGACAACAGTGGCTGCATTAATAAGCTCAGGCATAGGAACAATTGTGGGGATGACACAGGACCAGGCACTGTTTCGTTCTGTTGTGCATAGGGTCACTATTAGTTAGAGCTGACTCAATGGCAGCTTACAGCAACAACATAGACCCAGCAACTCTAGCGCTAATATACCCAAGAGAATTGAAATCAAATCAGATATGAATGTTCATATAGCAGCATTACACATATGGTCAAAAGTGGAACCAAATCCAAATAACTATCAGCTAATGAACAGGTAAACAAAATGCTGAATGTTGTTCAATCAAAAAAAGAAAATAAGTATTGACATGCTAGAAATGAATAAACTTTGAAAACATTATGCTAAATCAAAGAAGTCACAAAATTCTACATATTATATAAGTCCATTTCTATGAAAGGTCCATAACAGACAAATCTATGTAAGCACTAAGTAGCTTCCCAGTTGTTAGGGATGGAGTTAGTAGTTGAGGGAAAGCATGTATAAGTAGTGCTAATGGTTACAGGGTTTCTTTTTGAAGTGATGAAAATGTTCTAAAGTTGACTATGGTGAAAGCTGCACATTTCTGTAACTGTGTGAATTCTATCTTCTGAGAACTTTTTGAAAGAAAACTATTCCTCAAAAAAAAAAAAAAAAGTAGAAAACTATTCCTTATGGGGGAATTTGCAATAGCTTTCATTTCTTCAATGTCTTTGGTTTCTCTGGAGTTTTATTTTCCTCTAGTCACTTTTTGGGGAAATTATTTTCTATACAACAAAGCATTTCTTCCAGTATTAGATACAAATTAACCATAATTTCTTATGATTTATTAAATCACTATTGTATATTTATAGTTATAATCTCCCTTTTAAATCTTATTTGTGTCATCTGTATTTCATAGAGCTTCAAAAACATTTCAGTCATAGATGACACACTGAAATTAGATAAAACTCAAATATGTAAGATGCGAGTATACCAGAATAACAAGAACTGAAAACAGATGGGTCAAGTCTTGGGATGGGAGA